CGCAGTCTCCGGAAAAATAATAAACAAAAGGAGCGATGGATCTTTTCCTTCGTTGCTGGCTGATAATTTGTCGTCCTGTGTGCGCGCCTGTTAAGTGTTTTTTTTACGCATGAAACAACACTACAGGGTGAGTTAATACGTTTTTTTTTTTTGCAGATGTTAATCATCGATATGTAATAATCAAATGCGTCTTACGTCTCTATGTACGATCATTATCCACGGAATTGCTTAGCGGCATTATTCGTACTGCACGCTAAAAAAATTTCGAGGTTACATTGACAGTCTTTATACATATACGAACTTATACAGAACGTAATAAAGAAATAAGATCAATGCACGAGTATCTTACGATAATTCGTTCGCGTTCGATTAAATACGTATCCGCTTTTAAATATTTTACGAATTATTTTCAATGCTTTTTTTTTCTCTCTCTCTCTCTCTCTCTCTCTCTCTCTCTTTCTCTTTTTCTCTCTTTCTCTCTCTCTTTCTTTCTTTCTCTCTCTCTCTCTCTCTCTCTCTCTCTTTTATAAATGTTTTTACGTAGATTTACTCATCTCCGTCCTTTTAATATGTAAAAACGACGCGACAAACATTTTCCTTAGCTAAATAATGCCAACGTTCGTTAGTATGAAATCAATCGTATATGACGCCACGTTTGTTCGCGTCAATTTTATGTTTAACTTTTTTTTTCTCATTATAATTATAATAATAATAATAATAATTATTATTATTATTATTTATTATTATTATTATTTTCTCGTATCTCATATTAAGTGATTCAAACGGGTATGATATCTAAGTTTTTTTTTTATTTTTATTTCTTTTCTTTTTTTTCTCACTCTCTCTCTCTCTCTCTCTCTCTATCTTTCTCTCTCTCTCTATCTTTCTCTCTCTCTCTCTCTCTCTCTCTCTCTCTCTCTCTCTCTCTCTCTCTCTCTCTCTCTTTCTCTCTCTCTTTCTCTCTCTCTCTCTCTCTCCCTTTTCCTTTACTTTCGTTACCGTGCTTTCGATTCTCGCTCGTCGCCAGCTCCGATCGATTTCGATTGCGTTCTAATGGAATTTCAGACTGTTCGCTCAAACGTCGTTAGATTTATCATTAACTTTGTTAAAATCGTCGAATGATTAGAAAATAGCGGTTTAGGTATTTATAATCGGATTTGTTATATTTTTCGCGGTAAGTTGATATATTATTTAATCAAAAATCTTTTGGGGGAGAAAAATAATTTCGATAGTTTCTTAACAACCGTTTTACAACATTGTTGTTATGGAGCTTATGTAAATGTATAGACATAATACATGATTATCTATACAAAAAAAATTAAAAAAAAAAAAAAAAAAAAAGAAAAAAAAAGAAAAAAAAATAAATAAATATGAAAACTAAGTGTTAATATTTATATTGAATTATTGTTCGAAGACAGAAGCAGACAGTTTGTTGAATAATATAGCATTATTTACAGACACAAAATGACGGAAGGCAGTGCTACAAGAATGAAGAGAAATGGGGCTAGGATCTTCAAAAATCCTCCGCAGCCTCACATGTGTATACGAGATTTTATACAGGTAAAGAAAACACTGTATATAATAGGAGCAATAAACGCTATGCACTTTGAATAGTAATTGTTCCATTACGTGTGTGATCTTCTTTATATACGTGTTGTAATAATAGACATAAATAAACTATTTCAAATGTTACCTAATTGATATGATTTTTTTTGTCTTCTATGGAGAATTTGAAATAAACAAAATTATTTTTTTTTTCCTTTTTATTTACTTTTTTTTCTTTTTTTTTTTTTTTTTTTCTTTTTTTCTCTCTCTCTCTCTCTCTCTCTACTTTCCCGACTACTACTCTCTAATAACTCTATTATCTTTTTTTGTGGAAGAGCAAATATAGTAATTTATTATTATAAGTGTATACAATGTATTTATTTCAGTTATGTGTGTTAAACTTTGCTGAGAACATGAGATGTCTTCTCTTGAGTTGCCAACGTGCTTTTATAAGACACACTTCCAAAGAATAGAGTATTCTCGAGCAACAACACTCTTTGCTCCAAAATGGAATAATTCTAATATTCAACAAATAATAAATGTTAAAACATCGAACGAGGCAGTGAATAGAGGTACATTCGATCAGTCTCTTTGCCTGTGTTTCGTTTCAAACATATAGAAAGATAAAGAATTTCTATTTATTAAATATAATTGAATATATGAATATAACAGAAAAGAATATGTATCGTTTATATAAAAACAGGAATATATAACACGATTATTATTAATATGAAATGATGTTATATATGTAAATACGTATTAATTATAAATATGAGTCAGATATCAGGAATATGAAAAGGAATCGTTAATGGTCATTCATTGATTATAGGGAACAACAGGACCTTGTTATGTTAATGTACTATCCTGGGATAGAATCGCAATGCCATGTAGACCTTCCCAACCTGTGCCACTTTGGGGAGGTATGAGAATACCATCTCCACGTACAAAAGCAGAAGCTGTGGTTTTTGCTGTAATGGCTAATCCAGAGGTGCTACGTATTAACGGGAAGAATGCAGAAGATCCAGAAGTATGTAAATCGAATTAATAGTTTGTATATAAAATATAAAACATTTTATATACAAAATTAATATTTTTATATACAAAAATATTAATTTAATCTTTTAAAAACAAAAATAAACTATAATTCCAGAAACGTTCGTCCCTAATAGAACTCATGCTGGATTTCGTAGAGGCAATGAACGTAGGGTTAATATTTTTGAGGCGGTACACGATTTTAAAAGATCGTGATATAACCGGTGAATTGAAGGAGGTATGGAATGCGGTTCAGGCTCGGCGGGACCGAGAACAACCACCTCCTCAACAAGAGACTTGGATTGACGCACAACCACCTGTACCACAGTATCCTCAATATCAAGATCAACAACAGCAAACCCAAAAGCAACAACAAGATTATACTTCACAGCAGCAACAACCACCACAATATCATTCTAGTATTGCCTATGGTAGAGCAATAAGCAGCGATAATATGCATTACGATGGTTATGGTTATCAATCGCAAAAGTCTGTCATTCCACCGAACGATCAGATGTACCAATCGAGCCAAATAGTATCCCAACAATATGGTAACGTAACGCGAATAGCGCAAGATCGTTACAATTATAGAGAACGTGGCAGAGACACTCTCGTACAGAATATCCCACAACAGAGTTGTCCAGCTTATCCAGCGCCACAGTATCAATTTCAACAATTACCCAGGCAAATGATGCCACAGTACGTAAACTCTAATGTACATCCAAACACTAATTTAGGATATGGTCCACCAACGAATACCAGTGTCAATCCAAATATGCCAGCTGCGTTTCAATCGTATATAACTAATCCGATGTATCAACAACGAATGGACAATACGATACACGTCGATATTCGTAGAATGCAACAGCAACAACAACAACAACAGCAACAACAACAACAAATACACATAAATCATGCGCAACAAGTGCCTCAATATGAACCAGCCGGAGATTGGCAGACCGTCAACGTATTAAGACTGGGTAGACCGCACATGGGCGTTATTCAAAAGAACACCGTAAGTAAGAGACAAGTGAATTCACCAACTCACAGCAAACAGGCCTCCTGTACGAATTGCCATAACAAATCTACGACTGAGAACGTTACGAAACCGAAGAGTCCGGTTAAGGTATTACAACGGGAATTGTCTTCGTCAGGAGATCGACAGGATAATACGAATTATTACGTGATAACGGATAATAGTAAAACAATGAGAAGGGAAAAGGTATACACCGAGGAAATAAGAAACTTGCGACCGACGAACGACGTTACCACTGAAGGAAAGAAATTTAACGAATGTTCTTCGAGCATCGAATCAAACGATACGTCCAAAAAATCTAACGACAGTTATACCTCTTTATCAACATCGAATACACGAAAAACAATTAATTCCAACGAGAACAATCAGGATAATGGGAAACAACAACAGGATACTAAGGACTTTGATCTACCAACTGTTAGTCAAATGATAGCCGATCAAAATTTTAGTTCAAGATGTCGAATAATAGTTGGAAGAATTAAGCATAAGGATAATAACGTTGATAACAATAGAACGATATGGCCTCGTTTTGCCTCCGATCAAAAGAATGATAGTCCTAAACGATCGCAAACAAATGTTAACAGTATCATTAATCCAGGCATGTCGAATAACGAGGAAACATCTTCAATTAAGAAAAAGACTACCAATGGTCAACAGCCGAAGGTCAAAAATGCCAAAGCATATTGTGAAAATGATGATATACAACAGGGATATACGATATTAAAAAAAACCGAGACAATTGTTCAAGATGATGTTATTAACGATATTGCTCAAATATCTATTCAAGACTGTAAAGACGGCACCGAGGTTATCAGTCCTGTGCTATCGTGATAGCCTAGTTTTACAGCTAATACGGAGTATTAGCTTTGCAGCTTATTACCAGCGAATAATATATAATTAAATATGTACATAAATAGAATATTATTCGATGATATATGAGAAAGAGAGAGAGAGAAGGGGGGAGAGAGAGAGAGAGAGAAAGAGAAAGAAAGAGAGAAAGGAAAAATGGAGCAAAGCGATATTGAAACAAAAAAAAACGAGCGCTATAATATTATAATAATTATAAAACTAATATTAATATTAATTATAATGATGATAATAATAATAATAATAGTAATAATAATAGTAATGGAGAGAGGGGCTCGAAGATTTTTGCTTTTGCGTTACGAAGATAAGGAAAAGATTAAGAAAATAAAAAAAAAAAAAAAAAAAGAATAGAGAAAAAATGAACAAAAAAAAGAAAGAAAGAATAAATAAATAAAAAATAAGGAACAAAAAAAAAAAAGAAAAAAGAGAAAAAGAACAAACAAACAAACAAACAAGGAAATAGACGACCGAAGACCCCAATGAGAGTTTTAATAACCATCGATCTTTGATCGTTGATCCGACGAATCCACTCGTCTTCCTCTCTATTATTTAAAATAGAATCCACGTGATACTTCGGCCGATAAAACGTGTACTTTCGCTTGAAATTATATTAGAAAATGAAAAGAAAAGAAAAGAGTAATATCGAAGGAAATGAGATTTTGATTCTCAATCATCCTTGCCATTTTACTTACCCCCACTCCCTATCTATCCAACCAATCAACCAACCAACCAACCAACCAACCAACCAACCATTCACCCACTTACCCATCCCTCCCTCCTCCTATCTTCGTTTCAATTATTTTTTAATGTACATCCCCCGAGGACACTTCTCTCGAAAGGCCTGATGTGCTCATCACGATTATAAGGAAGTAATATATGAGAAAAAAATTGTAAAAAAAAAAAGAAAAAAAAAAGAAAAAAAATAAAAAAGAAAAAAAAAAGAGAAAAAAAATAGAAAAAAAAGGAAAAATAAAAAAAGAAGAGGAAAAAAGAAGAAAAAACACACATACACTCGCTCATACATAACATAAGAGATTTAAAGGTCAATTACATTACTACCAAGTCAACGTGATTTGAAAAGATAGAAAGGAAGGAAGGAAGGAAAAATAAAGAGAGAAAGTTTGTCAAAAGGAATAATAATGATATTGGACGATGTCAAATATATACTATATCTCATTGCTGCCATATTCTTATACTATGTCAACGGAATAATCAATTAACTTCGTGTATCGTGATTGTAATTTAACGAGAAATTGAAAAATTCTATCATGATTTATTGGCAAGAAAATGAAGATAAGGAAGAAGAAGAAAATAAAACAACAAGAATTTTGTAATGTTTAAGTGAAAAATAAGTAAAAATATGAATAGAAAGAAGATTTATTATATTTACAGTAAACCATATCGAACGTACACGTGTAACAAATACAAAAAAAAGAAACACATACACACATACATAGATAGAGTAATTCATTGACAACTGGAATTAGACTGTAATTTTTTTCTTTATTTTATAAGTAGCGATTAAACAAAAAAAGAAAAAAAAGAGGGGGGAACGACATAAAATGTATGTGTGCATTCAATTTGTAAATCAATTTGTTTATATTTAATGATAAAAAAAAATATATATATATTGTTATTACAATTCTAGCTGTCGGAATTACTCGGTATAAAAATATTTTGATCTATCGATTTAGAAATGATCAAAGGCTATACATATATACACACACACACACACATACATATACATCTTTCAGTATAATTACTGTTGGTGCTTCAATTATAGTGTAAAAGAAAAACATTGAGATCTCAACACTGATGAATAATTATAAACATATAAAACGTAAAGTAATACACAAGTATAATAAGTAATTAGCGGCGTCTGGTGTGCTAGGAAGGACCAATCAGCGCGCAAAAATGATAAATCAAAGGAAATAACGGGAGGAAAAATAAATAAATGAAATAAAATAAAATAAAAAAAGCGACGGTGCAATAAAGATTTAAGAAAAAAAGAAAAGAAAAGAAAAGAAAAGAAAAGAAAAGACATCTCATCGATGGTTCGGAAACAAAAGCTCCCAAAAACAACGCGTGTTACAACAATATGTAATTTTCAATAACGAGCTGGCTCTCGCATTGAAACTGAGCTCGCGTTTTCTTTTCTCTTTTTAATTTATTTTATAGTTTCTTTTTCTTCCCCCCTCTTTTATATATATACATATACATTTATTATATTTTCTTCTCTTCTTTTTCTCCCTGTTTCATATTAGCAAAGATACAAAATTAATAATAATAATAATAATAATAATAATAATCAATAATCAATAATAATTATTATTAATACTAATTAATACTACTAATAATAATAATAATAATAATAATAATAATGAAAATTAGAACAGAAATTATGGTAATACGTTGAAAAGAAAATAGAAGGTGTACGCCATCTTGGAAGAACAGTGTAATTATTGTAATCAAATGAATTTTTAGCTTTTCTCGCTTTATACATGATGCATGATAAAAGTGAATAAAAGGAAAAGAAAAGGAAAGAAAGACAGAGAGAGAGAGAGAGAGAGAGAAAGTGATTTTTTCTATCGAAATGCAGCAAATGGGAGGAGAGTGTGCATGGTGAAAAAATGATCTATTTTTTATTATTTTCGATCGATCGAAAAAAACTATGTAAACGATGTATGTATTTTAATAATTACGCGCCGCTATCATACATATACACATACACACACACAAACACAAGGTTATACGCTGTAATTGACGATATAGTAGTAATAAGATATATATATATATATTTACTTAGATATGAAAGTACTATTATCATCTTGTTTTGTTTTCTTTCTTTTTTTTTCCATAATTTCTTACGACTTTTGCTTTTTTCTTTTTTCTCCGTTCTTTTCTGGGTTTTTTTTATTTATTTATTTTTTTTTTTTTTTTTTTTTTTTGTTCTTTTCTTCCTCGGATGATCCTAAATGAATGAAAGGAAAGAAAAAGAAAAAAGAAAAAGAAAACAGAAAAAAGAAAATTGATCATGAAACGAACAATACCAAAAAGAAAATAAATAAATAAAAAGTAAAAAAAGAAGTAAATCACGAGCACACATTATTGCAAAACGTTGTTATGACCGGCATATATACTCTGAGCTTTTAATTATTATTATTATTATTTCTTTTTATTTTTCTTTTTGTTTTTTTATTTAATATTTTTTCTTTCTGTTTTTTTTCTTCTTTTCTTCTTTTTTCTTTTTTGTACAAATCGTTTACGTGTCACAGAGACGTGTCTATAATATATATACATATATATATATATATATATATATATATATATATATATATGTATGTATGTGTATATGTATATATGTATATTAATATCATTTACTGTATAAAATTTTGTTTTATTTTTTTCGTTCGATTTTTCTTTTCTTTCTTCTTCCTCCCACTTCGCACGCCACCTTAGCCTTGAGTAGTCTTGAGAAAAGAAGAAAAAGAAAGAGAGAGAGAGAGAGAGAAAACAAAAATTTCGGTTTTGGCCTCTCTTCCCCCCACCTCCACAATCCAAATGGCCATCCATCATTAAAAATACATACACAAAATACATACAAAACATACTCTTGTTGATACTATGTATTCAGTATTTTTTCGTGTTATATTTTAGATTCTTATTATTACCATGTATGTATATATATATACATATATATATATATATATATAATGGTTTATTATATCATTATTACCACACGAGCATTGTAATCTACTATTATTCTATAATACATGGTTTTTCCAAAAGCTCTCGTTGTTTACTTGTTATTCGTTAAAATCTATTCTCTATTAAACGAATTATCCCGTTTAATAATTTTCTTTGGTATTTTTTTTTTTCTTTGTTTTTCGTCTTCTTTCATTCTCATTCCTTTTTCTTCTTTTTCAATTTCTTTTTTTTTTTTATCGATCCAATTATAACGAACTTGAGACAGCGAGGAAGATAACAGCGAATGATTGAGCAAAAAAAGGCTGATTATATTTGGAACGATTAATTTAAATGAAAAAAATGTCAAGATAGAAATATAGACGAAACGATTATATTGATGTTTAAAATTAATTTCTCACTTTTTTATGTAAAACAGTAATTTCAACAGGAAGGAAAACTAAAAAAAAAAAAAAAAATGTTATCTGTCTAAATTTATGACATTAATATATATATTAATATTATTTGTGCATGTAACGATGAGTCACATTGAAACACGCAAAGAAAAGATGGACTAAGATAATCGGCAAAATATATCGCCACTTTTTTTATTGAAATTCTCTTCTCTCATTCTTCCTAGCTGTTTTGAATTTTTTTCGTACCATTCTTTGCAAAATCACCTTACATTTCGCATACTTCTCGGTTCCCTTTTAAGTTCATGAAGATGTTTTTTCTGTACGCAATTTCTTAATGAAATGGAATCTTCATCATCAAAACATTTCACTAAATACATCGCTAACTTCATCCTAAAATCGGTGACTGAAATATTTTTTCAAATTGCTTGTTTGTATAACACCATTGAATTTACAATACAAGTATTTAGCAAAAGCTCTATTGCCAATATTCTACAGCACCTTGGTGCCACCGGTGACGCCCACCACGAAAATTACGTAAGACACGTTTATAAAACACCTTATCTGCTGTAAATAATATTCGAATATACATCGTATACTAAAATATTTATGTTGGCGTCTTATGCAAGTCACATAAAATTCGTGCGACAATTAACGTGCTAAGTAAAATATAATAGTAAAATAAAAGTATAATACGTATACGTGATGAATTGTAAAATTGTTTTTTACTTAACAACGAAAAAAAAATTCTTCCTTTTTCTACTTTTTCATATACTTTTTATTTATTTATTTTTATTTTCTTTTTTCTTTTATATGCAAAATCATCACCGGGACACTTGTACCATGATTTCGAAAACACTATATATAAAAATGAATTAAATAATAAGAAATATATATATATATATATATATATATATATATGATAAAACTGATTTTACTTTCACCTAGCTGTTAGTGAACGTGAGTTAGCGAAACCATTTGAAGCGTTAAAACGTGAACGAAGAATCAAAATGAAGAGGAAGAACTTTTCCTTTCTTCTAGGATGGGAAAATGGTGAAACAACAATGTTCCGCAAAGTAAGATCTCTCTTGGCTTTCGCCAAACGTTTTCATCTATCCTTCGGATGTGCATCGCAGTCTATCAATCTAGTATCGAACAATAAATCAGTGTCAAACGTATACGTGAATCATCAATTTCTTAATTCGTCAATGATTCAGGTAATTTCTTTTTTATTTTACATTAAAAAAAAAAATATATATATATATATATATAGAGAGAGAGAGAGAGAGGATTTCCAGAAAGAATAAGACTAACTTATACTACATATTATTGAAAGATCAAATGGATGAAAAAAACTTCATATAAATTTATGTCCTAAAATTGCTTTATTAAAAAGATACATACTTTTAATTCCATGATTTAAAATGATTTAATTTCATTTAACGAAACAAATGATTCAACCAATCAATCACAGTTGACTTCCTTGACTTAATGTCTCTGGATTTCTATTTATGAAGTGGAAAAGTGGATTTATAAGAACACAATAGAAATAGAAAATGAAATATTTGTATTCGATTATTAATTCAATGAATGGAAGATTGCGTTCTTGTAGAAATAATGAATTTTCGAACATTTTATTATAAATGCCAGAATAAATTATAAATATCTTTTAAAATCATATATATCTTTTCAATAAATCATTTTTGAGATATAAGTTTATATGAAATTTTGTCATCTATTTGATTTCAGTAATACGTAATATAAGTTTGCTTATATGTTTTTTCAATACTCTGTCTTTTTCAATACTGTGTATATTTCTTTAATAAATATATATATATATATATATATTCATTACTTATAAAATATTATTTCAACAAATGATAAGAATTATCATAAACCTAACGTGACTCTATTTGATAATCTATTCAAATTAATGGTTCAAATTATCAGAGTGGAATAATTTTTTTTGTGATGAAATGTATCATATGTATTCATTATTCTCAAATGAGTAACAATTATGATTGCTTTTCTTTTGTTTCTTTTTTTTTGTTCTTTCTCAAATATAAATTCGGAAATTCTAAAAAAAAATTGATAAGTAATACATTCAAAAATACTTGTGGAAGGAGAAGATGAACTAAATGAGAGAAAGTTGAGAACAAGTTTCTGCAAAGAGGATGAAGAAATAAAATTCTTGATCCCCACTTTTCTTCTCCCCTCCATTATACTCAGAGTTGGCAAGAGAATAGACGGACTTAACAGTAGAAATCCGGATCGAAAGGAGAAGCGTGTTATAAAAGTTCTGTGGATATACGGATGGATGCTCAATGAGAAATTATTCGTTCTCGATCGAAGTAAAAACTATATTATTGTTAATATACGTAGAGATATTTATATTGTCCTAATAATAAAATGAATTTCTTGTTGTTAGTGAGGTATTTCTGAATTCAGTTCAGTTAGTGATATTTTACATCTAGGAACAAAATGTATGACAATGATGAGAAGATTTATAAGAAGAACGAAAGTGAAATATCAGGTGGGAAAATTGATTAAAATCTGATATAAAATTTAATTTATATTAAATATTAAATTGTTGGAAAAAAAAAATATAAAAATTCAACGACTATAATACGGATAAATATATTAACATTTGATAAAGGGAATTTAAACAAGATATATGATGTCTTGTTAATTAACGTTATATCTTCACACCTACTCTCTAATAACAAAATATTTCGACATATATAATCAGAAAACTAATTAAACTCTTAACAATATAATGTGTTATTACGAAAAAAAAATTTATTCGATCACTCGATTGAAATTTGAGTTGAATTCCATTTAAAATAATCTAACGAAGACCATTTGTATTTTTTATAGATAAAGTTTTTTCTTTTAGCATTCGAATGATTAAAATGATTGATCCTTGACAAAGTGTCTAATTAACGTTAACGTAATCAACATTAAGACGATAAGTAAAATTGTGAAAGGAATTTTCTTTTCTTTTTTTTTTTTCTTTTTTTTTTTTTCTTTTTTTTGTTTCATGTATTTATGTAATATTTCTAAATAAAGGAGACAAATCTAATTGGATACTGTTACTTTCGTATTTGATTAGTAACATACGTGAGACTTATTTGTTAAATGAAAGTTCGTGCAATAGAAACGAAGTTACATTACCTTGACTTACATTTTATAACTTATACTATGTGTGCGTTAAATACATATTCTATTAATTAAATGTAAGATTGCATTATTGTTAGTAATGTTCATTGAATGTTACGTAGGTGAATCTGATATAAGTTTTACTTTCGATAATTTCACCGACCAAAGAGAAAGTTTTATTTTATTTTTTTTTTTCTTTTTTTTTTTTTTTTTTTTTTTTTTTAACATCTCCTACCGATTATTTCGAATTTTTTTCAAAGCAAACTTTTATAATAATAACAATAATAATATATTTTGATTCCTGCGTACAACTCTTCTCTTTTTCTTTTTTTTAAATTATATCTTAAAAATAATCCTTTATTTATCCTAATTACGACGCTCATAATTTTTAGATCATATATATTGAAAATATCTTAATTCTATTATTATCGTTTGAACTTGTACTCTTTCTAAGAAACAAAAATAGAAATAATGTGTTTCGCAAATAGTGTAGTAAGAAAGAGAACATATATGTGCTCTACGAGATGAAAAAGAAAAAGAGTAAAGAAAAAGAAAATTTCTATTCATTAAAAAATTATTACAAATTTATATATGAGAACACGTAACTATTACATTAGTATGATAATATCCAAAACAAGATATACGTTTAAAATATACATTCAAAAATATAAACGAAAATTTACATAAAATATTTTAATATACGTAGTGAGGATATAATAAAGAGAAAAGAAAAATGAATATATGTAAATTTTGATTTTAAGATGAAATATATAAATGAAAGAATCTTGCGAGACATTGAATTCAATTCAGAAAAAAAAGAAAGAAAGTATAAAAGATTATATATTATAATATAGATACATAAAGAAAAAAGAAGATAGAAGAAGGTAAAAGAATACGACGTGATTCATAGAACAAAGTGAATGATAAAAAATGAAATTTATTCTATTGGAATGATTACTGTAAGAGCGCGATATCGATAATTGACAATATAAAAATGAACAATACTATTATCCTATAACTTATAACATTATTTTAATATTCTTTCATCTTTAAAAATTCTTTATGTGTATGTAATGGATTCGTTATAAGCAGTTTGATATTTTTACACGATAAAAAAATAAACCAACAAAATATCATAAAATTTTTATTTATATTATTAATTGGCACATTGATTTGCATACAAATAATAATAATAATAATAATAATAATAATAATAATAATAATAACAATAATAATAATAATAAAAATAAGAAGAACAATAATAATAATAATAATAATAATAATAATAATAATAATAATAATAATAATAATAATAATAATAATAATAATAATAATAATAATAATAATAATAAGTACAATAATAATAATAATTTAACTTAATAAGTTAAATAATAATAACTACAATAATAATTATTTGTAACATCGTTTTTATATCATGATGTAATGAGAACCATAATGATACCTGTATTATACTAAATGAAAGGAGGATACGTGTCCTCATTTGAATAAAAAGAAAAAAAAAAAAAAAAAAACAGAGAGAAAAAAGAAAGAAAAAAAAAGAAAAAAAAAAGAAAAGGAAAGACAACGAAAACGAATGACGGTACATACGTACTCGGATACCTAATCGACCAGTTGAAATTATTTTTGATTGTGTCGTACACGCATATAATTAGCTACCAGGTATTACATCCCATGTTATTTCCTATAGGATCATGTCCGATTATAGATGCCGCACAAATCGATTTGTTCATTCTGCGAGCGTCCATTACACAAATGTACCCACGTTTAAACGTCTCGCATACAGAATGAACATTAAACTTTTATTGAATTTTATCATCGCACGTAAATACGTAAATCATTCTGTAAACTATGAAAGAGTATAATAGACACAATGCGTTCTTATGATATCTTGTAGATATAAAAATAGTTTTTTTTCCTTTGTTATTATTTTTTAATAATAGAAAAAGAAAGAGAGAGAGAGAGAGAGAGAGAGAGAGAGATAATCTATATAATTTTTTTATTTTTCTGTTTTTGTTTTGTTTTTTCTTTTTTTTTTTTTTTATTATTTTTTTATTTTTTTAGATTCTGTAAAAGAAAGATTGGAAAATCTTCTCAACGATGGACGAAATGCATCGGTTCACACAGATTCATGCAATGTTGACTTACCGTCATTTTACGATCCAAAAAGATTTCGTCTAGGTCAAGAAGCATTTCATAATAATATCTTCTCGATGATGATCGCTAAATTGTCAGGATTAATAGCTCTTTTCGCAATACCTACTATTGTTGATGTAATTGCATTTACGAAGCAAAGTGACACACCATGTTTGGCTTTTCGGAGATACGCTTCGACTGTACTTCATACATTCGTGTGGTACGGAAAGGAACCGAAAAAACAAAAGGAGTAAGTCGAAATATTTTATTAACTTTATTTAGTTCATTAAATTATAATTTAATTATAATCATCGAACAGCACAATTATCGAAGAATAATATAAATCGTTTATTTTTTCTTGAACAATTTTTTTTTTCTTTTAGATTCAATAAATATATCGAAGTAATCGATGTATTTAATTCAAACGAAAATTTATATATGTATGGATACCATATAAAAAGTTTCTATGTAGCTACTATTTGTAATGAATTCTTTTACTTCTTCTCCGTTTCTCTTTTTCTTTTCTTTTACATTGACATTGAATTATTTTACTTTTTTTTACGCTATTTCTTTTTTCTTTTTTCTTTTTTTTCGCGACGGCAGAAAAATACGAATACTTGATGAAAATTTTTGTTCGTTCAAAATAATCCATCTATCCATTCTATCTCTCTTGATACGATGAATCAACAATCGATCAATAGCATGCTTTGAATGTATAATATCTTTTAAAATAGAAATAATATATGATAAATCTTAATTAATTTATTATAAATTAACCAATAAATGGCATTATAGATTCCTTGAATCTTTGAAAATCGTCAGGAGGAAACATTGCGTTGCATTTCATAGAAGTTTCAACGCCGGCATACGTAAAGCTTCGCAAACTGACATGGCCTTAGCTCAATTTGGATTTATTGGATATATATTGCTTGGTACTAAACAACTTGGAATATATACGACTGATGAAGAAATGGACGGTCTTGTACACTTTTGGCGAGTAATCGGTTGTGTTCTTGGAATGGAAGACAAGTTCGTATGAATTAATTATTAATCCTTGAAAGGTAAAAAAAATAAAAAATGAAAATTAAAAGAAGAACAAGAATAAAAAATTAAAAATAGGTAAAGCAAAAATAATTAAATTAAATTTTAAAAAAGGAATGGAGAAAAGAGAAATGAAAATTCACAGAACATGTCATTTTTTCAGATACAATATCTGTATGGAAACGGTCGAAGAAACCCGTGCACTTTGTGCGAAGGTTTTAGAGGAAATATTCTTGCCATCCATAATTAAAAACAAGATAATATTCAACGAAATGGCACATGTACTTTTAAAAGGACTTTGGTGCATTAATCCATACTTGGATCCACATGCGTTCACTGCATTTACTCTTTACTTAACTTCGTTAATCGTTACTAATAATAATCATTCTATTAATATAGGTAAGGTCTGACGTCATAACGATTATCATTGATTTATAAAAAATAATAAATTAATGATTATATAGAGAGAGAATATATCTATAAATCATACGATCAAAACAAAAAAAATATAAATTTATGTCCCAAAAGTGCTTTATTGAAAACATATACATATATATATATTATTTATTCTAGCATTTATAAGAAATATTTTTTACGAATTCAAATATTCAAATATTCCTACTCTATTTATAAATAATAATAAATTTATTTTGTAATACATATTTAAATGTTCATCTTCTATTTTTATAAATTAATATAATTAAAATTTTTATAAATTTTGCATGACTCCAATGACGTCTTAAATTAGATTATTGATTCGACGAATTGATATAAATCATACATATCATTAAAAGAATAAATCTTTTCAATAAAAAAATTTTCAATCATAAATTTATATGAATTGTTTTTCATCCATTTGATCTCAGCAATACGTAGTATAAATTTGGTCCTATGCTTTTTGGATACCCCGTATATATACACACACACATATATATATATATATATATTTTTTTGCTTCTGTTTTTAGATTATCAGAGCATGTCGAGGTATAGTAAATTCATCTTTAATTTACAACTATTCGTACATCGATACCTGATTGCAACTAAGTATTGGTGGTCCATTATATTTCGCAAATTCTTCAACAGTCAAATGCGATTGGCTATATATTTAACCGAAAATTATCCATATATTGCCTATTGGTCATTTGGTATAAAACAATCGGACGTTAGCACATATCGTTATTATTTCAAATGAATGTATAAATTTTGAAAAAGAAAAAGAAAAAGGGATAAAAAAAGGGAATTATCAATTATATAAGAGATTTAATTATCAAAGGTCATATATATACATAAATATATTTTTTATACGAGTATTCACTAAATTAATAAAATTGCGAAAAGAAATTACGATATACAACAAGGAAAGGAACTTCAAATGCTTCTTGTAAAAAGTTAATAGGTTAAAAACATATAATGTCAAATGAATGTGTAAATTTGAAAAAAAAAAAAGGAAAAGAAAACAAAAAGTATTATTAATCGTCATTTATCTATAGGATATCGAGAATATAAATAAATAATGAAAATTAGAGCTAATATCGAAATATTATGTTATAAATTAATTATTAGACTAATCTCGATTAAAAATGCAATGAATATATATGTATTTAAAACACGTATGAAGATATATGTATCGAGTTATGTATGTATAATAGTATTGAATAAAGTTATATGATATAATGCTATGTTATTATATAATGTTATTTGATTTTTAACAAGATGTAATATAATATTTTTTTAAATTGAAATATAATATTTTTTTATATACATATATAATATTTATTATGCCATTATATGTTGTGACAATCAACACATCAGATATATTTCTTCCTATAAATAATAATTTAAAGCAATTTCACATATTCAGAGAATTTAATCGACTTTAAAAGGCTACACAAGCAAAAGTAATAAAAAAGAAGAAGAAGGAGAAGGAGGAGAAGACAACAAAGAGTTTGTATCGATATTTTTAAAATACACACATATATATATATTTATTGCATTTTTAATCGGGATGAATGTAATAATTAATAATATGTAATATAATATTAGCTCTAACTCTTTTTATTATTTATTTATATTCAATGATATTTTTTATATAATAATAATAATTGATAATTCTTTTTTTTTCTTTTTTTTTTCTTCTTTTTTTTTCTAAATTTACACATTTATTTGACGTGATACGTTTAACCTATTGACTTTTTACAAGAAAGATTTAAAGTTCCTTTCCTTATTGTGTCAACAATAATTTCATTTCTTTTCGCAATTTTATTAATTCAGTAAATACTCAATATAGACCTAGTATACTCTATACTTCAATATAGATCTATGTATATATATACGTAACATGAGCTTTGATAATTTCATCGAACATTTAACTACGATGTCATTACTCCTACGTATGTATCTGTTAATTTTCTTTTAACACCTTTTTTTTTTTTTGTGTAATTTCGCCAGGACCTATGATACGTCATATATATATATATATATATATATTACCAAATGACGTCGTGAATAAAATTCGTAAGCGAGACTTTTTTTGTTTTTTCTTTTCCTTTTTTCCTCCTTTACTTTTTTTTTTTTTTTTATTCCTTCTTTTTTTTCTTCTTCTTCGCGAGAGATAAACCGCCGTCTTACGGAGATCGATCGAAGGAAAACAAACTCGCATGACCGATAAAAATATCCAAAGAGTTTAGTACGCTTTTTGTTTTGTCAAGGTAATACCTAACGATATTATTATTATACGAGAATTTTTAATACAAATAAATTTAGCTTGAGAAATATTCTATACGGTAAAAAAGAAAAGAAAAAAAATGGTTTATGGCCCTTACGTATATATCGTTTTTAATGACGTCTTAACAATATCTTGTATTAAAACGCAAGCTCCAAAATATTCCTATATGTCGTATATGTACGTATAATTCAAAACATTTTACTTGGCTTCATTTATATGATCCATTAATTACGTTAACGATATGATTGATAGTATTGACTTGGTTGATAATTAATATCAATATTTTATATATTTTATATATATACATATAATGTAATAAATAATCATAGACATTATATATATATATATATATATATAATATTGAAGAGATACGGTATTGTTTATATTGGAATATCGTGAATTTTTATTATTATATTCATTAACGTTATACTTATTGATAATAATTATTCATTTATTATTGACCAAACCAATATTGACATGCCAATATACAATATCTTTGTATAAACTTATTTAAGAAACTAACTAAATTGTCGACGTTACTTATTAGCTAACTTAATATTTCATATAAGATCTGTATAATATCATATCGTAATATTTAAATTCCATTTCTTTCTTTTTCGTTCATAGGTAATATCCATCCCGATGATTATCTCTTAAATTACAGGAGTGATACGGGATAAGATTAACCGCTTTAATATCAATTATAAGAAAATTTTCATATAAAGAAAATATCCAATAAGTAGCCGTGGTGGGATATTCTAATCTGTTGTTGAATGTCGAAGGCTCCGTGGAATTGTGACTGCGGTCGTTCCGATCCGATAATATTTAAAAAAAGAAAAAACGAAAGATTCGCTTGCAATTGTGGTTGGGAAGGAAAATTCATTTACGGTGTTTCCCTTACCTTGGCTATCTTTGAAATGAAACGCTTTTTCATGTTGTTATTGGAGATAATAGCTGAATGGCAAGTGATTCGATTCGCTGGTGGTTTACGTCCTGTTATTCTCACCTTGCTCGACATTATCGTTGGCTTGCCAACAGCTATGTTAGCTGTTCGTATTATACGCAAGTACGTTGATGCGTATAAGTTTGTTTTGTCCTTTGAAAATTCGTCATAATACATATATAAATATGTACATACGTACGCTATAAAATTATTTTATGCATAAAATATCGTTAAGTAAAACATATATATGACGAGTATGTTGATATATTAGATGTCTTTAGTAATTGTCCTTGTAACTTTAGATTTTCATACACGTGTACATATATATATATATATATATATACAGGTGCATATCGTACATATCGTGTAACACAATTATTTCAGATACAAAATCCCGCGATGTTGTTCGAAACCTAAAAAATTATTTAAATGCCTTTTGTTCGTAATAACGATGTGCGTTCTCCTAAACATCATGACCCTTATCTCGATTGGATATCACATTAGCGTAAAACAGGAAACTCTTGTAAATATATTCAACGCTTCTATGCACCTTTACGTCAATATGGCGTCGTACAAATATGCAATAGATGAGTTACAACTTGTGTTCCAATGTTGCGGGCATACTTCTTACACCGATTGGTTTCTTTTCGATTGGCAGGTAAGATAAAAATCTTTCTCTTTCTTTCTCTCTCTCTCTCTCTCTCTCTCTCTCTTTCATGTTTTTCTTATTTTATATTTAATCTTTGATTTATTTCAATTAAATTAAAAATATGAAGATAAACAATATGATATATTTGTCCTTTAGATGGCAGATTATGCATCACGTGACGAAATGATTTATGATAATAAAATATCTGATGAAGAGTTTCGAGATCGCGGAGTACCATTTAGTTGCTGCAGTTTACGTTCGATGACACCATGCGTACATGCCGAGATGATGGATAAGGATATTAAAAGTATCAATGAGAATGGCTGTGCGGAAGTTATCAGTCCAGTTATAATTAGGATCGTTGTAATCGCATATGTCATGACTACCACGTTGATCGTCACGCAAGCTCTATTAGCTTTTTTAATCGCAAGAGTACATTAACAACAACGATGCATCATCGATACAAGCAATACGATTATTCGATATTATCTTAAGGATCTATATTTCATTTTTGTAGATGATCGATAGATTTTCCGAAAGAGTAAGATTTCCTGTTTCTTCTTTAAGCTCAATGGATGGATCTACCTGCTTCCTTACAGAAACAAATAGGTGAGCACAATCACTTAGTTTCGAACTTTACATTAAACAAAAAAATCTGTTTCGCAAGGTACGAAACATAAATTTCGCAATTTTCATAACGACAAAAATTATAGTCCTCGAGTTTTTTTCTTCTCTTTTCTTTTTTTTTTTCGTTTCTTCTTTTTTTTTTTTTTTTTTATTTCTCTCTATATCCTATCTCTTTTTCTTTCAATATCTTTATCGTTAATTTAAATATTGACTGTTTTAGCTCGAGTAAAAAGAAAAACGATCGTTATATTACTTCGTCGATTTACAAATGTGTACCACGAGATAAAACAAAGTCTGGACAAAAAGGGATGAAGATAAAACGTTTATCTCTTGTAAAGAACGATTCTACAAGAAGAAAGAAAAGCCGACAAAAATCATTGAATTCTTCTATATCACGATGTAGTTCTCCTATTATAGAATGCACTATCGAAAATTCTGAAGTAGCGAGAATAAAACCGAGTACTCATGAGGAACATAGGATATCAAGGAAACGTTTGTTGACCAAACGAATTCGTTGAATTTGTTAACTTCATTATATGCACTTTCTTAAGGGCGAACAATGAGAAAAACAAAGATTCTTTAAGGGATTGTGACAGATTAAAAAAGAAGAAGGATTAAGCGTTAAGATTTCAATTAAAAAATATTCCGCACAGCACGAAATATTAATAGGGTATGTATATATAATTGAAAGAATATTGACGCAGATGTTACACCAAGTGATTCATTAAATATGTGTATCTAACATATATATATATATATATATATATATATACGTTAAAATCTAATGCGCATGATTTAAACGAACGTACGATTTAAACGAAAATGATAGTATATTTTTTTCTAATAATTTGTTTTTTAGAAACGAGGAAAGTATTTCGTTACGCATGGAATGCCGTGGTATGAAACGTATGCCAGTACCCAAAACAAAATATTGTTTGTTATGATTGGAGGTAAGTTGTCTAAAAGGTGGAAAACATAATCGTCGGCAAAGCGATGGTGGAGGGAGGGGGGAGGGGGACTAGTGGATCCCCTATTTGAATTTCGTAGTCGTCGCGGCTGGATCAGTACAGTCCAAAGCATCGAACGAGGTGGTTTGCCAAAAACCTAAGGAAAAAAAAGGATTATTTCGATAGAAACGAATTCTCATGAACTGTGAAAACGTCATCAGGAACAATTTTCCTTTGACATCGACGATCCTTTTAGGTTATCAGGTACGTGCGTTTCTTTTTTTATTTTTTTATTTTTTTATCATTTTTTTTTTCTTTTCTTCTTTCTCTTCTTCTTCTTCTTCTTCTTCTTATTCTTTCTCTTTCTTTCTCTCTTTTCTTCTAATTATACTATAAGTACTCTTGACAAATTGCGAAATACAACATATGCGTCGGCGTTAACCACCTTGCGCACGTACATCATAATTATTATTTATTTCTTCCTATTATCGAACGTCGAATTTTAATTTTATTTGCATAAGTAGAAAAAGTCCATTAGGGAAACTAGCACGTACATAAATGGGATTTCTACGTCGAGTCGCGACTTTAATAGAACTGTGACGGTGCTTGCTCGAACGACTTGCTCTACGTTTTGCATTGCTGAAACTCCCCGTCGCCATAAGACGATGCTCGAAATATCCTATGTTGCTAAATTTAAAAATCGCCATTAAGAACGAGCACAATTCCTTTTGCTATAAGAGTATTAAGTTGCAATCTATATAAAAATGTTCAAATGTAGATAAAGAAAAATGTGATCGTAATAAAAATTTGAAATATCTAATGTCAAATTTTAATCGCACATACGTTAAATAATGTGTATCTGTTCGAAATTTTTTAAATTTCATTAATATATATACGCGATGATGAACAAAAATTAATTAAATAATTAATAGAATCTATAGAAAGGATCAATATATTCGTAGAATAAGTAAAGACTAATAGAATATTATTTAAAATCATATCATTATATAGAATGAGAACAAGGAAATATTTTTTTTAATATAAATTTCGAATTACCTGAGGCATTATAATAACCTGTTCAAATTTGCGCATGCGCAGCGATGAAGTAGTGCCTCCGAAGGACAGGTCTCCTCGTTGTACGGATCGTGAACTTCGGCTCTATTCGGCAACGTTCGGCACTCCACAATCGCGCTCGGGTAATTTCGTTGAAAGGATTCAGGCGCGCGTCACCGTTCGTACGAAGTACGATCTCAGTCGGAGAATATCCGCGCGTTAGTGAACTTCGCGTGTTCGCTTTTTCGCGCAACACCGTGTCGCGTATCTTTTTCTCTCTTCCTCTCTCTCTCTCTCTCTCTCTCTCTCTCTTTTTTATCTTTCCTTCTTACCTTATTTTTTCCTTTCTCGCTATCTGTCCTCTGCCTCTCTCTCTCTCTTTCTCCCACTCTCTTTTTCCATATTTTTCTCTCTTATTTTCCACGAGTGCTTGTCTACACGCCACGCAATACCGTTCACTGGTCGTAGCATGTGCCCACAAGTTCACAGTCTCATACACGTTTATCTACCCCACCATCAGCCCCATAATAAACTTGTCTCTTATGGTTACCGTTAAAGGGCTATTTTTCGCGTCCGTTCAGGAAAAGAAAAGAAAAAGGAAAATCTACGTTTATTTCCATCGTATCTTATTCTTCTTTTAGAAGCTCGTTTCAAGCAACAAATTTCATCGTGTTAGTTACCAACGACGCAACGCGAAAAAAAAGTAACGGAGTGACACTTATAGCATGATTTCTTGGATATTCCAGTGAAGGAAACGATATCTTACGCTTCGCAGAACGACGACAACTCGTCTGGCCGAGTTCGTGCACGTGGTGGTTGAGAGTGTGAAGTGTGTTAGTTTTATTCTTTTTCTCTCTCTCTTTCTCTCTCTCTCTCTCTCTCACTCTTTTACTCGCTGTGCTTCTCTCACTCTCTTTCTCTCTTTATCTGTTTCTATCTATCTATCTATCTATCTTTTACTCGCTATACTTCTATCTCTTTCTATATATCTTTCTCTTTTTTTCTCTCTCTCTCTCACACATACACACACACACGTGCGACGCTATTGGTCGAGGTCGTGGTGTAGAGAGGAAAAGAAAGAAAGAAAGAAATAATAAGAGGCGCGTTTCGCGAGACGATCATAACGAATTTTACTGTCATTCTTGGAAAGTTTCGGAACAAGGTTGAGAGAAGGAAGAAGAGAAAGAGGAGAGTTAAGGAAGAGAAATTCGATTATCTTAGAAGGAGAAATAACTGGCCGGGAAGATGAGTTGCTGTACGAGTGCACCGATCGTGACCCAAACTTGTGAGACTCTGTTGAGCAAATGCGAAGTGCCGATTATTGACCTCGCTCATATGGGTAAGTCACTCTCGAATGTATCATAATAATTCTTCTTTTTCTTGTTAATAATTTTTACAATTAGATACGCTTAAATCGATTTCGATCGGTTTTAAAAACATTTCTATAGACCGTGTACGGATCAATTCCTCGGTTGAAGTCGATTAACGTCGTTAGTCGCGACGTTTACGAATGGCGCGAAGTCTATATCAAATTTGAATGTTATACTTTTTAATTCCACAGGGCGCTACGTCGTTATGATCGCGCGCACGCGCGCGCGCGTGCAAATATATTGCTTTTATTTCTCTCTTTTTTCTTTTTTTTTTTTTTTTTTTTTTTTTTTATTTAACGTTTTATCTTTTTTTTTCAAAGCAATATATTTTGTTGGATAATTTATCGATACACGTTATTAACGCGTGTCGTCAGAGCATGAATAATATATATCTCTGTTGTCAGTTATAGATCGATTAGCAAATCTTAAATGTGTGTGTGTATGTGTATATTTCACAAAATTGCATTAATTTGAGATTTGAACAATCGTATTAAGACACGTTATCTCGGTTTATTTCTATATATAGATATATATATATGTATATATACACCCGCATTACATATGAATATATATATGTATACATACGCATACGTATGTATGTATATATATATATATATGAATGTATATTATCAAACAAACAACTATGTACAAATCGTAAGTATAATGAAATCAAAATGAAACATTAGAAAATAATTAAAACTACGTACATATGTGTATCATTTTCAAAGACGAGTCACGTAGACCGAGTAAACGACTTACATATGTATGTCGGAGCAACTGGTTATATCAACGAACGAAATGTTCTTTTTCTTCTTTTTTTCTTTCTTTCTTTTTTTTTTTTTTTGTTTTTTTTCCTTGTACCCTCTTCGTTAAATTTTTTTGTATCATTTGCATACGACCTCTCCTCGTTGGCTACGATGCTGCTACGTGACTTTTTCGATAACATCTACATATCTCTCTCTTTCTCTCTCTCTCTCTTTCTCTCTCTCTCTCTTTCTTTTTCCCTCCCCCTATCTTCTTTTTTTTGAAAACGTCGATTTATCGAAATGTATCGATAAAAAAAATTTTGAGAATCGATTATTATAAAAGGGACGCACTTCGTTTTATGGTTGCTTAGCAACGAGGTCAGGCAAGCTGCCAAAGAGCGAAGAAAGCGGCGAACGACATGCGGCCGAATAAAACGAAGCCAACACAGCTTGCTTTACTTCTTCGTCCTCTTCGTCTTCTTCGTCTTCGTTTCAAAGCAAGAACCTGAGCGAGCGGGTTGCAGAGAGTATATAGTCGAAGGCGCCTACCTCGAACCCGACGAGCCATCGAGGTCAGAGCCCCTTTCACAAAGAAGGGCGGACCCTCCCTTGGCGCCCTCGAATACACGTTTTATATAGGGTGTCTCATCGCGTGATATATCAACCGTTCCATTACTTTTTACTATTTTTTTTTTTCTTTTTTTCTTTTTTTTCGAAATCCGATCATCCATTCCATCTCTTTGGTTGAATAATACTTATTTCTCCTTTTTTTTTTCCTTGATAACGTCGTATACTTATATACATACATATTATATATATATATATATATATCTTCATACATATATATGTATATGTGAATGTATATATATCTATATTTTGCGTTTTAATTTTATTTCATTTAATCGTCCAAAAATGTATTATTACTTCATATCCGAAATTGTTCACATGTTTCTTAAGTACAAGTTATATTTAATACAGTTTATATAGTATTTTTATATATATATATATATATATATATATATATATATATATATATATATGATATTTCCGTGATGTGATATAACTTTTGTATATAATAATGACATTAGATAATAATCACTGTGTGATATTAGGTAATATTTTACTTTTTATTTATTTTCTTGTTTATTTTCTTATTTATTTATTTATCTTCTCAATTGTTTTTTAACAGATACGAAGAAAAAAATTAGGTTACAGGGTATTAAGTAGAACGGACGAAATCGATCATTTCTATTTATTCATATGATCGCAACGATAATAGAAATAAACTACTTTTATTCTCGATCGTTCGAAACTTTACGTTCGAGGATAATCGCGGCAATTTCATTGTTACGAGTTAAGTGTATAATTGCGGTAAAAGAAAACAATGTCATGGGACTATGAATAATGTTAAGAAAAATAACATTTTAATCT